AAGTTAATTATCTCCAGGATAGAGAGGAGGGATTTACCTATGCAAAGGGGAGTGCTTATGTTGGAGCCACTGCGATTGGCTACTGTAATTCTTGTCCCAGTCTTCCATCTGGTCCCCTAGGGGAGGTCCCACCAGGTGGGAGACCTGCATAAATACCGGGCAGGTAGCCCCCATTAAATCAGATCGTTTTACCCCTTCATGAAGTCTCGACTCATGTTTGGGGGATTGGGAGCTATAATCACTTTATTTCAGCTGGATTTCGGGAGAAGCTACTAGGACCTTGTTTGTCCTACCCACACCGCAGGGCCCTCGGTCCGGGCACTGGTGGGGAGGCAGGTTGTAAGAGTTTGCCTTTTGGAAATGCTAATGTCACTACTATAAATGAATTTCTGGAGTGTTAGGTTTGAGCCCTTTAGAGTAAGGCACTTCATCTCTTCAACCTCATTTTCTCTGTTTTCCTATGGAAAGCTGTTTCTTTCACTCTCTGTTACAGAAGAGTTGGTTACAGTTCACAGAGAGTGTTAGGCACTACTCATCTGAAGAGCATTATCTACACAGTAGTATTATAAGTAGTAAATATAAGAACACCTAAAAGAATCCCCATGAATAACAGAACAGAGGGCCATAATGGAACTACCTGTTCAGGGATTTCCTCTATTGTTCTGGTAGCAGATGAATTTTACCTGAAATAGTAAACCTGGTAGAATTGTCTGGGGACTGGAAAGACCTTAAAATACTTGCAATACACAGCATCAAAGTTATCTGGAGCATATGAGCCTAAAATAATACCTTTTAGTGCAGAAAGGAAATTATAATGTTCCCCTTCACAATAGGGCAGTGATGGCGAACCTGTGGCACGCCAGACCCTCTCTGTTGGCACGCAGCCATAGGTCGCTGGGAGAGGGGGCCGCTGGCTGTCTGCAGAGTAGGCATCTGCCTGCCCGAAATGGCAGGCGCCTACTCTGCTTCCGGGTCGGGAGGCAGAGGGAGGGCTCTAGGAAGCAGCTCTCCTATCCTCCTGCGAGCAAGCTGTGTGGAGCGTTGCTGCACGTTACCATAGAAAAGCTCCACACAGGATTGCGCGGGAGGATGGGAGAGTTGCTTCCTACAATACTTAACACCACCGGACCACCAGGGATGGCTGTGTGCCCCCTCCTTCACCAAAGGTAAGAGGAAGGGAGGGGGGATAAAGAATTAATAACTTTTTTTTTTATGTATCTTTACCCCTTTGTCTGCCTGTAACTGTGTGTGCGTAACTGTCTGCCTGTAACTGTGTGTATGTGTGTGTGACTGCCTGTGACTGTGTGTGACAGTCTGCCTGTGACTGTCTGCATGTAACTGTGCGTGACTTCCCTCAATGTGTGTGGCTGTAACTATGTGCATGACTGTCTGCCTGTGACCGTGTGTGTGACTGTCTGCCTGTAACAGTGTGCGTGACTGTGTGTGTGTATGTGTAACTCTCTACCTGTAACTGTGTGTATGACTGCCTGTGACTATATGTGTGACTGTCTGCGTGTAACTGTGTGTGACGGGGTGCAGGGATTTTAAAACGTTTACAAATTTGTTCAACACATTTTTAAAAAAAATGTAAAAAATATAACACATTTTAAAAATTTAGGTTTTTTGTTTTGGTTTTTGGAGAAGGGGGGGCCAAACCCAGGACAAGCCCCGGGTGCCACATGCCCTAGGTACGCCTGTGACTGAAGCTGTGTCCTCATAGTAACTCCTACATAGAGCATCTAGTGGATACATATACTGAGGCTGTGTCCTCATAGTAACTCCTACATAGAGCATCTAGTGGATACATATACTGAGGCTGTATCCTCATAGTAACTCATACATAGAGCATATAGTGGGTACATATACTGAGGCCGTGTCCTCATAGTAACTCATACCTAGAGCATATAGTGGACACACACTGAGACTTCATACCAATTCATACATTGAGCATATAGTGGAAACATCCCGAAGCTGTACCACCACCACCAGTTTGAGTACAGATACTGAGGCCCAGTGGTCTCCTGGGCAGTATATTCTACCACTGTCTGCAAAGCCTGCTTATTTGTGATAATGCACAGATAACAGCAATCAATGCCACATACCTTGATAGAAACAAGTGTGTGTGTGGACTTAGAGTTAGGATTTTAAAACCTGTCATATACATGTGTGTACTTCAATCAGACACCCAGGAAAGTTCTCTTATCTTGGATATTTCTCTGTCTTCAGGCTGTGGAATTCCAGCAGACTTCATACAGCCAGGATATCCATTATTAGCACTCCTTTGCACAATGCATACTTGTATTATCAGCACTCTTTTGCACCAAACATCCTTATATAAACTTACCTAAATGCTCACCACACAAATCTCCTACATGTGACCTATTTGTTAGAAGGAAGCCCAATGTAAGTAGCTGGGAAGGACTGAAAGAACAGAGACCAATTTAAATTACTAAGGCACTTACCTGAACAGTTGCAGGCCTGTGTTTCAGTGGCAAAATGGGGATTTGAACAAGTGACAGCCTAAACTGTTTAAACTATAGGCTTCCATCTGTACCCCATATGCCATTTATCATCACCATACAAGGTGGAATACATAGAATAGGTATACCCCGGTAGTCACCTATGGAAGTGCTGTTTACTGGGTCTTCAAGGATAAAGGCTTAGACTCAACTGGGCCTCATGTATGCAGTGGACTTCTGTCATAACTTCTGAGAGAGATAGCACAGACCCCTGGTTGCTGAGGTAGGATTCAGGCTGGCACTCTTACCGATATGCTGTTTGCTGGGTCTTCAGGGATAACAGGCTGAACCCTGGCCTGGCTTCATGTAGGCATTATATCACATACATCCCCTGAGGGGGTACCCAAGCTGGCCTGGCTTCATATAGGAAGTATATAACATACATCCCCTGAGGTGGTATATCACATACATCCCCTGAGGGGGTACCCAAGCTGGCCTGGCTTCATATAGGAAGTATATAACATACATCCCCTGAGGGGGTACCCAAGCTGGCCTGTTGCTGGGTCTTCAGGGATAAGAGGCTGAACCCTGGCATGCAGTGGACCATTTTCATCCCTTCAGGGAGAGGTTGGGTCAGACCCCCGGTCACTAAAGGGGGTAGCCAGGCTAGCCACTTTCACAATAGTGCGTTTGCTGGGTCTTCAGGGCTTCTGAACTCCGTCAGGGCCTAAAAAATATTGCCTGGTGAGCATTAAAGAAAAATTCTAGGCCTGCATAAGCAGACTCCTTTCAAACTGCTGTGAAGGACAGGAAAAAAAGACTGCCTGATGGGAAGGGGGAGGATCTATTTATACCAGTTTCAGAGTTCTATTTCCTGTCCTTTCTGCTGTGAGGGGAGGAGCTAACCCATGAGTAAATGCTGCCATGAATAATGATGGTTACCGTATGGCAGCCTAGAATTTGGGGCATTTTTTACATATGGATTTCATTTTTGCTGGGCATTTTGTACATTTCATACGTGCCACTTAGTTCAAACCCCCCAAATTATGCTCAGCTAAGTCTTCTGAGTAAAACAATATGCCCAATGTATGACCTAGACACTATTTTTTGAAATTACAGTGCTGTAAAAGAGAGGTTTTGATGCGTCCGTGTCCCACTTTGGAGCACTTGAGCAGGCTACATATTACAACTACACCATAAAGGCATACCATTTCTAAAAAACACATCCCAGGGTATTTCAAAAAGGCATATTTTGAACCTTAGCGTGGGATTATTTTTCCGCTAGCTTGTACCAAGTGTAGTGGTAATAAGCGTTTTTTTCTGCCTTTTTGACACACATATTGAGTTTGCACAGTATTTTTTGCAAAACGTATGTGTGCTACGACTGTGTGGCGGAACCAGTCTCGCCACTGGGCATTGGAGAAGACTGATTGCCAGCCTCCTGCCCTGTGACTATGGCCCCATGTTGAAGTGCTGGATTTTCCCCTACAAAGACACGAAAGCCAGGTCATTCGGTACTTTCCCTATGTGAGCAATGTTACCCCAGACAGCTTTGCCATGGAGCCCATTCATATAACGAAAGACTATGTGAAAGACTTTGGCTCCATGGCAATTGAACTGTATGTATGTGATCTGAGCGCCATTCAGTAATAAGAATAAAAGAAAAGAAAGAGGAAATCTGTTCCCACTATCAATATCAAGTAACACAACAGTTAAACATCAAGAAGATACTTTAATTAATTAATCAAGGATACCAATGTAAAAAACCCCTGGCAGTGACTGCCCGACTAAACAAAAGTCAATTTCGGCAGTCAAAGCAAAGAGCACAAAAAATAGAAAGTAAGAAAAAAAATAGAGAATTACACAAACAAATAAAACCATGAGCTGAGTTTCTAAACATCGCCGTAGCGATATACATAAGTATCTAAAGTAGAATTAGTGCATCGAAGGTACTCCAACTATGTAGCCTAACTAGGCTTGTAAGAAGGATCCCACTCGATTGACTTGTGCAAAATCATTAGATATAATTGTATCAATAAGTCAGAGATAAATAAAATACAATACAAAGTATCTGCACAATACAAGTGAAAGGAGTTATTCTACAATGTCAACTCAGTCTATGATAGTAATAGTAAATGAACGTGCTCCATTATGATCTCTTCAGTGGTTCTTTTATAAATATTTGCTTAAGTAGTGCTAAATATGAGCCATATCAACATCAGATGCCTGAATCCGTATTGAAACAGTCATATGTAAATCAGCTCAATCGTAAAAGTTGAGATGCAGCGTTTCCCCAATGTATGCCTTATAATCTTAATCAATGGTCTAAATAGTAGTAATCAGGTGTAGATCAAAATAGTAAAAAATCAAAAGGCTAGAATAGTGCCTTCAAGGGCACCCGGTACAGGAAAGGCAGTGAATAGACCAAGAGCTCTGATGCTGTAATATAACGACCCGAAGCGGTTATAAATAAAGAGATACTACAAATTCTAATTCAAATTGCTAAAAGGTACACTGATCGGTATAGAAGTGTATTGTGCCCCAGACGGCTGTCCGCCATCTAAATCCAGAAGATACCTGAGTGGCTATATAAATCAAGCCTGTGGTAAATGTCCGTGCACAAGGCAAAGGTGCCAGGAAACACAAAAGACAGGACTTTGTAGTGACAGAACATCGCGCCCCAACGTGCCTTTTGCCTAACGTAGAGGCTCATCAGGGGGAGGAGGATCCTTTCTTGGTTTTTGAGTTGCTTACACCACTGCAGCTTGTGCTTTGCATGTAGATGCCTTGCTCAGGTTTAGAACGTTTATGCCTCGCTTCAGGCTCTGATTGCACAGCGTGCAAACCACTAGTGTCTTGTCTTCAGCACATTGTCTGAAGAACTGCCACGCCAGGGAACTCCTTGGAGCTGGCTTTGGTGTACTCGGTCCCTGGGTGCGGTGGGCAGTAGCAGGCATACTGTCTAGGGGACAGCTGCTCCACTCTTGCACCCTGCTCTAGGAGGAGGAGGCAGTGACCGTGGCGGTGAAGGCAGCCAACACTGTTTTTTTATTTTTTTTTTAATTGGGGTAGCCCCCCAAATATTGGGACATAAAAAAAGAAAACAAAGAATAAGTGCACTTGAGTATGACAATGGCTGGGTGAGGCCGGTATAAATGTCTATTCTGCACAAGGTACAGACAAGTCTGGTGGGATCCATGCCTGGTTCATTTTAATAAACGTGAGCTTGTCCACGTTGGCTGTGGACAGGCAGCTGCGCTTGTCTGTGATAACGCCCCCAGCTGTGATAAACACACGTTCAGACAATACACTGGCTGCAGGGCAGGCCAGCACCTACAAGGCATAAAGGGCAAGCTCATGCCATGTGCCCAATTTGTAGACCCAGAAGTTGAATGGGGCAGAACCATCAGTCAGTACGTGTGGGCGTGTGCACACGTACTGTTCCACCATGTTGCTGAAATGCTGCCTCCTGCTAAGACATTCCATATCAGCTGGAGGTACCGGTTGTTATGGCATGCTGACAAAGCTTTTCCACATTTGGGCCATGCTAACCCTACCTTGTGAGGTGCTGGCGGTGCCCCAGCTGCATTGGCGACCTCTTCCTCCTCCTCTGCATTCGCCTTGTGCTTCCACTGAGCCCCCGGTGTCAGTTGGGAATGCCCTCAGCAGCATGTCTACCAGTGTGCGCTTGTAGTCGCGCATCTTCCAATCACGCTCCAGTGAGGGAATTAAGGACGGCACGTTGTCCTTGTAACAGGGATCCAGCAGGGTGGCCACCCAGTAATCAGCACAAGTTTGAATGTGGGCAACTCGGCAGTCGTTGCGCAGGCACTTTGATGACTGTAGATAACCTCGGGCCGATCGCAAGTCCCCTCGATGTTACTTTCTGCGCCTACCATGGTGACCACGGGTAACGGGGAATCAAGGTTCGATTCTGGAGAAGGAGCCTGAGAAACGGCTACCACATCCAAGGAAGGCAGCAGGCGCGCAAATTACCCACTCCCAACGCGGGGAGGTAGTGATGATAAATAACAATACAGGACTCTTTCGAGACCATGTAATTGGAAAGAGTACACTTTAACGAGGCTCTAATGGAGGGCAAGTCTGGTGCAGAGCGACTGACCCGTGCATGCTGCAGCTGAAACTCGACTAACGCCTGCTGCTGCTCGCAGTCTCTCCAGCATCGTCGCATATGAGGCAGTGAGCGGAAAGGCTGAAGTTACGCTGCACTGTAGACAGGCGAGCAGCAGCAGGGTGAGAACGCCGAAAGCGTGCACAGCTGCTACAGTGAAACTGCGAATGGCTCATTAAATCAGTTATGGTTCCTTTGATCGATCCATCTGTTACTTGGATAACTGTGGTAATTCTAGAGATAACATACCGACGAGCACTAGGGAACGGCCGCTCCGCTTTTGCACCCTGCTCCCTCATATACCATGCTGGTGCCTCTGTGCGACCACCGCCTCTTCCTCCAAACTGCACACGTCACTCACATGACTTTCTTTCCGTGTGGGGTCTAGGACCTCATCATCCTCCACATCATCTTCCAACCACTCCTAAACCCTGCCTTCCTTGCCGGTCTGCTGCAGAAAGCCACAGCAGTTGGCACCTGTGTTTTTCCAGCATGTAAAGTCTGCAAAGGACATATGGAAATTGTTTTAGAATTGTATCCAGGCAACTGTTTTCCCCATAAACTAACCTCTCAGTTTGACTTGTGAGGGTATTGCCCCAGAATTACAATATTGCTTAAGTACCTCTTAGCTATTGATAACTGGTTTAAATATAGCAGCTTGTTATCTGGTAGTTTCTAGTGTAGAAAATATCAATCACTTAGATCTGTTTAACGAGTGTTGTAGGTGTGAAACAATATTACACCCATTTTCTGTGGGTTATTGCATTTTTAAGATGTAGAGTTATTGTATCACACTAGCCATGCACAGGTAGATTGTCTGGCACGTTGTTTTGGTGTTTGGTTTTTAACTTTGTAGTTGTGTCTTTACACAATATAGAGTGTATTAATACTTCTGTATATGAAGCGATCACAATAACACTTATTTTTCACTTTAAAAAAAAAAAAGTCTTTAGACTTTCTTGAAAAGCGTTAACTAGCCAGTGTTGCACACATACACCAGATATTAAGTGCACACCCCAAATGTACTATTTAGCACCAAACAAATGTGAATTTTTAAAACTGCGCTTTAAGCACAGTATTTGACGGTTCTATTTGACTCTTAGATATGAAGTGCAGGCCCCAAATTTACGATTTAGCACCTAAAGAATTTGAATTTTTAAAACTGCTATGTCACAGCAGTATTTGACGGTTCTATTTGACTCTCAGATATGAAGTGCACCGCAGGACGCAAATGTACTATTTAGCACCAAAAAGTTAGATTTTTTTAACCCCTTAAGGACCAAACTTCTGGAATAAAAGGGAATCATGACATGTCACACATATCATGTGTCCTTAAGGGGTTAACCAACAATGTAACAGTAGTATTTAAGGGTTTTATTGGATTGCAAGAAACGCAGGACGCAAATGTACTATTTAGCACCCAAAACATTGCAGTATACCTAGATGTTGCCCACTGAGCTACCAGAACAGGATTAAAGTCATGTGCCTGGCACACATGCAGTTGCAAGTGCACTGCACTCTCTGTGGCACTGGGCTCAGGGCAGGGTACAAAAAGTAGTATAGCACCCACTAAAATAATCGCTGTAGTTTGCAGAATTCTTTCCTAATCTGTCCCTCACAGCTGCAGCATCCTCTCCCTATACTAATAAGAGCTCATGTGACGTGCAGCGCCACGTGACCCCAGCTTATAGATAGAGGCTGGGTACCATGCTGCACTGGCCAATCACAGCCATGCCATTAGTAAGCATGGTTGTGATGGCTTCTAAGGACACACGAGTCAAACGCTTGTTGATTGGCTGCCCTGCAGCCTTTCAAAACGCACCATTAAATTGGCGAACACCGAACTCCAACCCGAACATACACTGAAATGTCCGTGTTCGGGTCCAGGGTCCAAAAACCGTAATGTTCGGGATGAACCTGAACTTTACATTTCGGGTTCGCTCAACTCTACTCAAGACCCAAATAATGAGTGCCATAAGAAGTAAAAAATGAGCTCAAGAATACGAAACCCTGAAAATATTTCACAACCTCTCCTGGTCAACCAGACAGAAGAGGAAAACCTTTGCCGAAAGTACAACAATCTTAAGAAAAAATAACATCAAATATCGTTGGGGATTCCACAAAAAAATTATATCACATGAAAAAAAAAACTAGATCTATTGATTGAGCAGAGGACCTAAAAAAATTGGCTACCCACAAACAACATACAAAGTGGCCCTAAGCACTCATTAACAGTGAGGCTTCAAATACCTGTAGGAGAAAAGAAAGAATATAAGAGATAATTAATTGATAAAAAATAATTTGTCACGGGAGAGAGAATGAAAGCATAAAGGAAGAATTAATTCCCTAAGTAATAAAGAAGAGTTCACAAACGTGATAAGAAAAGATGTAATACACAGTTAAAGAAAATAGCACACACACAAATGGAAATACATCACCCATATAAAAGAGAAAGAGAAAAGGGAAAGAAAAGAGGGGGGAAAACCACACTCAACTTAATTTTATAAGGAAAAATTACAATAGCACAACCAACACAAAAAATTAAATAAAACAATAATAAGAGATAATGATACAGGAAGAAACACATTCACATAAGGATATTTAAATACACATAGAGGGTAAAAGGGAAAAAGGGGGAAATATGCCTAAATAGAGCAATTAAATTAGGAAGAACAAGTTTTCACATGAAGATAGAATATCAAAATAATATACAAAAATATTAAGAGTGAAAAGGAAATAAAGGGATAAGGGAAATACTAAATAATTATTTTTTTCCCTTTAGGATTAGATATAAGGTAAAAGGTGGGTGTGGATTAAATTATGTAGGTCCTGTATGGCAATCAAAATAGATATACCGTTCTCCTGTATGCTTTAAAGAGCCTGAAAGGGGGCTCCCTCTAGATCATAGACACTCAGCACGCTTTTCCCACAAGACAAGTGGGACTCATACTCGAGTACTGCCTGACATTACTTGAGATGCTGTATGGCAGGGTACTTCTGCCATACAAAATCTATCTTCTAGGTTGATTCCTAAATGGTGGAACAACCTAGTACTTGATACAAATATAAATTATTTTCTTGTTTTTAGCTTCACATTAAAATGTGGAGAGAGAGAGAGCCCCAAGAACAGACAGATAAGTTTACATTAAGATAGCTTCAATAAAGGCCCGTGGGATCAACACACCCGGTAAAAGATCAACAATTCTAAAATTCTTAAAAAATAGGGTACAAATTTGTGCCTTCAGGAGGCCCACACGTTGTGGAGCCCCTTCCCACATGGAGCCAAGATGGCTGCTGGACGCACATGCTATTGGGAGCCATGATGGGTCACCTGGGTCCTCCGGGGTGATGGATCCCACAGACGGACCACTCCGAGCGGCATACTGGTCAGCGCGGAGCTGGCCCTGACCTCTGGATTTGGTGGTGGTTCAGGGGAAATTGCCCCCAACTCTGTGAGCCCTGTGGCGCCGCGAGACTAGTACCGGCTACATGCATGATACCGGAGAAGGGTGAGGTATAACGGGGCTGGAGCTCCAGCAGGGGACCCGTGGACTTTTCTGGGTGGGGGGAGGGAGTATGCTGGACTGCTGATGTCCCTGAGTGCCCACAGAACTGTAAAACTTTCGGCTGACTGGCAAAAGCAGGCCTGAAGGGCAACAGAGGGGGTTAGTCGCACCAGAGGAGCTGTGGGGGCCCTGTAATGAACGACCAGCTCAGCAAATATATGCATTCCTGGCACAAGCGGCTATGGCAGAGGGAAGCTTACACAGGCCGTTAACTTCACGCTGGACAATCTCCTCACACCAGGCGCTAAAACACCACCTCCAGGGAAATGACTCACCTTTTACCGTTCTGTAGACCCAGATGGAGATATGCCTTGTTACTTTAGTATTTGGACACTACACCAGTCCTCATATACTTAAAGAACCAACGGAACATCTAGGACTCGCAATTTTTTCACAATTTAGTTTTAAAAACATATTCTTTATTAATGCCTAAATTTACGCAAAGTATGAAGACCAGCTTCAGCTATTCCATGAGCAACAAGAGTGCATTATTACCATGCATTATTGCCTACATCGGCGCTATCCGCATGGCTACCTAATAAGACCACACAGCACACAATCCGTGGGCCAACATAAATATTTCAAGTCATTCATTCACGAATAAACACTCCATACAGACACCAGACATGACATACAGTTCACGCAGGTGACAATCCTTTAAGGTACCTGACCAGAGCACCTTCTCAGTAGGTCAACTGCACTATATGTTAGACCACGTGGCCTTTAGCTAAAAAGCAACTAGGAATATTTTGGAGCGCTTATTCATGCAACGGCCTATAATGCAAAATATGTGTACACTCTTCATTTATTTGTTCATCATTCCTCCTTTAGCTAACTTATATTATATTAGTTTAATACGACATGTTTCTGATGGTCATAACCTATGATTTAAAAATTAACAAACCTCAGTTTTTATACGCTATACTATATCGCACCAACTGCTGATACCGCTGGGTCTCCTGGTTGGGTCCATTCAGCAACATGCGACCAACAGGTTGAATTACATATATAAGGTCTCCTACTAGGTTCCATAGGTTTACACATATACACTGGCTTAACATTGGAATAACAAAAATATGTCTACGCTAGTTCAGTTCCGCCTATATTAATGCACGATTGCCGTCATGTCACCATATTATGCACCTGCTTGTTAAATGTCATTGATCCTAATGATAACCTTGGGAAGCTGTGTATCTAGAAGTTAAGTTTGTTTACTTTTAATTTTTTGTGTTAATAAATCACTTTAACCCCTTAAGACTGCAGGACCTTCTATGCCATCTTTAATGGGCTGGCTCTAAATGCCGGAGGGTGGCATAGAACGTCCTGGGCAGTCTTGCCGCCAACATGGCCGGCAGCATTACCCTGCTGCAGATCACGGTTGGGGGTCTGCAGCCTCCGATCGCAGTGACAAGCTGTCACTGTGATCAGTATTTACCATGTGCCAGCTCATGGTGTGCATACAAATGTGTAATTAGAGGTCATATAATAAAATGGTATCCACCAAAAAAAAGAAAGGAATACCTCCTTTAGCTAACTTATATATAACATTAATCGACTATAAAACTATATAACATAATACCCTCCACACAAACAGCAAGGAAAATTGCAGAAATAGAACAACAGATAAATGATCAGTTAATGGATAAGCCAGCTAAGCAGCTAGAATCCCTACAATCAAAATGGTATTTGAAGGGCAATAAACCAGAAGCATTAATGACCAACAAGCTCAAAAAAGAAAAACAAAATAATTTTTTTACAAAATAAAAGACAAAGATACTTATCTATTGACCCCATAAAAAATAGCAAAAGCATTTGGAAAATTCTATCAGGATCTTTACAATTTACCAGAAGAAACATATGGTAAAGAAGAAGAAATACATTTTTCCAAAATATACATATGCCAAAAATTTTATCTGACCAACAAAAAAGCATAAATCAACCAATAAATGAAATAGAGGTCAGTAAATCAATAGACAAGCTCAAACTAAAAACCACTCCAGGTCCAGACGGTTTTACTAATACATTTTATAAAATAATGAAAGACCAACTAAAAGGAGAACTCGTTAATATTTATAACTATATAATGAGAACAAGACATTGTCCGGGAGAGTTGCTGAGAGCAAACATAGTTACCATCCCAAAAATAGATAAAGATGCGGAGTTGATCAGTAATTATAGATCGATTTCTTTAATCAACACTGATATTAACATTTTCTCCTCTATTCTGGCAGAAAGGCTAAAAAGAGTTATACCACAACTAATTAACAACGATCAAGTGGGGTTTATACCAGAGAGGTCATCCATCAATAATCTTAGAAAAATAATAACCATATTAGAAGAAACAGAAAAACAAAAACTCCCCTAATTCTACTATCCATAGAAGCAGAGAAAGCGTTTGATAGGGTGGGTTGGGGTTTTATGTTGGCAAAACAATTTGGAATTACGGGTTCTATATTACAATATGATATTAGCCCTCTACACAGATCCATCAGCAAGTTATAGGGGTCACAAAACTTTAATATAAGAAATGGGACAAGACAAGTGTAGCAGAGAGGTAGTATAATGCACAGTGTCTCCACTGGTAGACAGGAACAGCATACAATAATCCCAGTAGCGTTAAATAAATCCTTCCTTCCCAAGAACTAGACGACACATAGGCTGGAAGTCAACTGAGGTTTTAAATCCCCATGCAAGGGGTTTCCCTACTGACTTTACAGGGGTTGTACAGTAGGGGACTTGACAACCAAGACATTTCTCCCACCATGCACTGCTGCACGAGAGGGATAATTCCACTAAAATATCCAGTTAAATGGATTATCCCTCCGTGCAGCAGAACTGGCATTTTACATAAAAATATATAACATTATTCATGCTAATATACTGAATGACCGTTCGGCAGATAGCTGGGGTCTGAGCGCATACTTTGTGAAAGTACCGCTCAGATCTCAATTAGCCGAACGCCGCATGAAATACACGTAGACATAAATTTTTTAAGAAAGGCACAAATAGACCATCAGGGCTAAAATACCGAAAGACCGGTGCTCCCGAACGGCCTGGAAGTCCAGCGGTATTTGTGCCGTCGAGTAGCCGATTTTAGTTCCAGGCGCTCAATGGCAAAATACCGCTGGGCTAACTAAGGATTCAAGATGGCCGACCACTGCGTGGTCAGTAGCCGAACGGCGGCCACCTTGAACATCTATTAACTACCGAAAGATACAGTGTTGCAATACTTAATGGGAGCCACACGACCTCCTGTGTGTGGTCTCCCATTCGGCAGTTTGTTTGTTTCACAAACAGTGTTGAAATTCACTGTTTGTGAAACTACTGTATGAATGCTGGTGGTTTTCATGCCGCCAGCATACGAATGCTCTTGTTCGCATCAAATACAGACAGGGAATACACTCAGCTCAAATAGCCTTAAAGCCACAGCATCACATTAATGAACATACAGTCATACATAAGAATTTAAAATATAAGAATGTGTAAAATATAGTAAATAGAAGTGGAATCAGCATACAATAATCTGCCTTGTTAATACAAAATAAATTACATATAGCCATAAAGTGAATAAGAAGTGAGTAGATAAAAATCACATAAGAGAAGCATAAAATAATAAATCCATGTAGGTAATATCAATAATAACAATTAATGGATGAAATTATTTAAAGGTAAAGACTTATAAAAAATTAAATAAATCAAAATCCACATTAAGACCTTGGGGTGTTAGGGTTTGTAAGTTATATACCCATTCCATCTCTGATCTACCAAGAATATTTTTTATGTTACCACCTCTCCAAGGTATTTGGCATTTCTGAATTCCTAAACATTTGAGAAATTTAGGATCTTGGTTGTGGTTAATAAAGTGCTTAGATACAGAGTGGTTTAGGTACCCATTTCTTATATTCCTACAATGTTCTGCTAGTCTTGTCTTAAGACACCTGGTGGTCATACCTACATATTGGAGGCCACAAGGGCACTCCAATAGGTAGATAACATTGGTAGTATTACAACCGATGAAGTCTCTTATGGTATAACTTTTATTTGTTTGGTTGGATTTGAAGTTAGTAATTTTAGATTTAGTTGTTAAATCAGTGTTTTTACATACGGTACAACGTTTGCATTTATAAAAGCCTTTTGCCCCATCTAAAAACGTGTGATGAATATTTTTGGTTGCTTTGGTATAATTATTAGTTAAAATGGATCTAAAATTGGGTGCCCCTCTAAAAACAATCTGTGGCTGTACGGGTAAAATTTCTTTAAGCAGATCATCTTGTCTTAGGAGATGCCAATGTTTTTTAATTGTTTTTTTGATAAAACCACTTTTATTATTATAGTTAAAAATTATAGGAAGAGTGGGGGTTTCTAGAGTATTTTTATTCTTGTACATTAAAAGGCTTTCTCTAGGTTTGTTTCTGACTGTATCTATAGTACTATCAAGAAGTGTACAGGAATAATTCTTTTCGATAAATTGTTTCTTTAAAACCAGTGATTGTTCATTAAAATCGTTTATTTGAGAGCAATTGCGACGTATTCTTAAAAATTGGCTTTTTGGAGCGCTTTCAAGCCATGGTTTATAGTGGCAACTGGTTTGATCAATTGCAGTGTTGGTACATACTTTCTTAAAAAATGTTTTCGTATGTATTTTGCCGTCTTTGATAAAAATATTTAAATCTAAAAAATTAATTGAATTTGTACTATATTCACAAGTCAGAATAATGCCTCTACTATTAGAGTTGAGGTGTGATATAAAAGAATTCAGACAATCTTCTGAGCCCTTCCATATAAAAAACAAGTCGTCAATGTATCTAAAATAGGAGACCAGATTATGCTCCCAGGCATGCCGTCCCCAAATGGCGGATGTTTCCCAATCCGCCATAAAGAGGTTGGCATAGCTGGGAGCAAACTTAGTCCCCATAGCTGTCCCTCTTTTCTGGAGATAAAAAGAATCATAAAACCAAAAGTAATTGTTGTTTAAAATAATATTAATACCATCTACAATAAAATCAATCTGGGCAGCTGGAATTTTGTTTTCATTTGATAAAATGGTTCTGACTGCATTATATCCAAGTTGGTGTGGGATAATAGTATACAGGGACGTAACATCACAGGAGACAAGTATAAAATCTGACTTCCACTCAAATCCATTTAAAAATCTCAGTAGTGACATAGGGTCCTTTAAATAGGACCTCATTCGTTTAACTGACGGTTGGAGTAGAATGTCAATATACTGAGATAAATTGCACAAAGGAGAGTTTATCCCAGATACTATCGGTCTCCCTGGAGGGTGTTTGGCATCTTTATGTATTTTGGGTAGAAAGTAAATAACCGGAATTTTAGGGTTCTTAATAAATAGTCAATTTTTTTTTTTATTCAAAATATTATCATTTAAACCGTTTTGTAAAAAAGTGATTAGTTTCTGCTGTATATTAGAGGTAGGATCTTTGGTTAGTTTCTCATATACATCAATATCATTTAGTTGTTTGTAAGCTTCTTTGATGTACATGTCAGTAGACTGTATTACAAGACCTCCACCCTTATCGGCCGGTTTGATCACTATTTCTTTGTCCTCTTGGAGTTGTTTAATAGCTGTTTTTTCTGATGTATTTAAATTTTGGAGATCGTATTTATTAAATTTAATTTTGTTAAGATCTTTCAGAACAGATTTTTCAAACATCACCAGTGGGGCTGATTTAAGGATATTTATATGGGCAGACATTTTGTGCTAAGATAGAAATTAAAAGTGTTTACTAACAGAGTCACTCAGAACAGAGCAGACTCCATTTTGGATTTCAGGCAAGACAGACACAAAATTTCCTTTCTGTAACTAGCCACTAGCCTGAGCTAAGGAATGCATTATGTAAACAAGCCAAGTGATAAGCAATGAAGCAGGGGGATGGAATGCTCTGTTTAAATGTTAATGGAATAGAAATAATTTTAAACACAGACACTAGTGACAGAAGACTAAGTAATTAATTTTACAAGGTCCCATTGTAAGTAAGGGGTGAAATTGAGTTTAGAACTGTCAATTTTAGAAATTACGATCAAAGTCGTTGCCACAAAGATTGAAGCAAACTTAAGTTATGGTAGTCATTTTAGATAAGCCAAATGACGTCAAAATCGTCATCAGGAAAAGTTAACTCTTTCCTGGATAGGAAGGTTTACTGAGGCGAGACTGCCCTCTATGGACGAATAATCTAAATTGCAATCTGCAGGTTGACCACACCTTCAGTATCCTATTGACCTTATCAACTAATGACGTACAGAGAGTCTGGCCCTTTAAAAGTTAGGACAAAGGGAAGAGAAAAGGTTAGTTCGGGCATTCAGATTTGGACATTCAGAGAGGTCCAGGTTATTCAAGTTCCTGGCATTAACCCTCAAACTCTCTTGGACACAACTCAAGAAACACTCCTTGACACTTTGAATTTTACTCTTACTTTCTAACCAACATCACTTTTCTCTATTACTTACACACCTCCATCCAACCAATCATACTTGCATCTAAATTCCTGGGACTACCTACTCATCTGATGAGTATATCTATGTAACTGGTAATTATGCTGATTTTATTTAATTAATCTAAATTAATTAAAATCCAATAGCATGATATATGACTGGATAAATCATGGTCAGATTTCAATATTTAGAAATCTTAGTTAAGTAAAGAATATATAGTTATAAACATTCCATTCTGCAGGTGGAATTAAGAATAATTATATATTAATGTGATATTATCACGTGTTAGCATACCGCTGTTTTTATCCAGGTGTATTGATTTGCTCTAAAATAAGATATCTTTTTAGGCAAATTCAAATTCGGCTTTTGTAAAAATCTGGTAGATTATTCTTATTGGATGGTTCCAGGAAATGATTAATGAGCTGGTTCGAATGTTATTTTAATTGAAAATTACATGAGAATAGGATACTATATGCCTAGGAGGATCTAGCCAGCATTGAAAGGGTTACTCAGTTGATCTGTTAGCCAAGGTTTTAAGACTTTTCGCTGGGCTGTGTGAGGTTTTGCTCTCTGTGTCTGTGAAGTACCCATTAATCTTGTCTTGACAGTTGATGCTGTAGCTTTGTACTGTGTTTAGCCATTACCATTGTATATGTTGTACTAAAAATATTCACTGATTAATATCGTGCATGCTGCCTTATATTATTATTTAATTTGTCACAATAAATTATTTCTATTTTTATAACAAATTGTGATTTTATTTGTATGGAATACATTTCACTTACATGATAACGATCTCTAAGATCTAAGATAATTGAAATAGTGGGCAATTCTCAACTGTATAATATTATCATCCCATAAATATCCCCCCATTACACCCTAAAAACATATCTTACCACAATGGCTATACGTACGGAGAATTATACCTCTGAATTTTTCAGAAAACTGGTTAGCATTATTACATTCATTGTTCTGCAAATTTGTGTGGGGAGGTAAAAAGGCTAGGGTGAAAATGAAAAATTTAGCTAGGTCAAAACAAGACAGAGGTCTGGGGTGTCCAGAAATTATGCAATGCTACATGGCTAGCAGACTCTTTCACATTTTGCTCACCCAAAATAATATGGCAACCAAATATACTTGGTATAATATGGAAAAAATTAAAAACAGGGGTAAACAATTTGTCCTCATTATTTTACATTTTAGATATAAACAAAAAAGTGATTGAGGATGCACGGAGCAAATCACAGATACTCGAATTTACAAGCTGGTGGGATAAAATCACGTTTAATATAGGTTTTAGAAACAAAATTACAGAGGTGCTCCCATTTTTTTGTGATTTCAGATATGTTGGAAAACATAAAAACAGACACCTGGGAAACCGAGGGGATTAGGGAAATCAAGAATATAATAGTGGAGAAGAAAATCAAACTCTTTGGGCAAATGGTGGAGAAATTTAACATCTCTGGGAATTAAACTTTCAACTACTTGAGAATTAAGGGCTTCATCTCTGAATATCTATCCAAGAACAAGGAGGAGAAAAACCTAAAACTCAGACGTCTTCTGGATCTAAAGAATAATAAAAATCTATTGGCAAAATGCTTCCAGCACCTGACAATGCTCAAGTGTTCCAATGACTTGATTACCTTCATCCCGGATGCAGAGTTAACTATTACTTCCACCTGGCACCCACAAACTCTGTGTTTGGATACTCAGTCTCTCTACAATTCTTAATGTTGTTAACAATACTGACCATCTAACTAAACATTTAGCCATCATTAACCACTCTTTGCATGCAATAGAGAAAAGAACTGTCATAGTTGCAGGTATGATATTTTTACAGCATGGTCATTCTTCACTAAATGAGTCTTAAACATAGTACAGCACCCACGAATTGTTGTGATATGTTTTTTCTTTCTTCTTACCGGTTTTAATCTATAGATGTATTGCAAAATGACACGTGGATTTAATAACACATATTATTCTATAACCCACAGATATCTGGACAAGTCTTCCTTGATGGCTCCTTTGGTGTGAGATGGCAAGGGAACCAAGGTGAAGATCTAAATTAAGTCCCACAGGTATAACTAGTATACCTAGATATACCTTGCCTAGAACTCTCACCTGTGGCACCAGAAGAGGGGAATTGTCATAGATAAAGGTAAATAAAGGGTTAAAGCCTTTGCCTTAGTTAAGTCCTTCCACATATGCAGGGGTTAACACTTAAATTCTTCACTTCTGCTGGTGTCAGCAGTCCTTGCAGCTGCCTCCTTTTTTTCATGAAATGTTACTTCTATTAACCTTGGTATTCTAGCTTAGATATCATGTTCTCAAGTAAGTAATTGTTGCTTGCTTTCATGTACACATGTGCAGTAGACTAATTCTATAATATATATGCAATGTTCTCCCAATTAAAGATGAGATGATATTGAACTAAAGCGAAGTGAGTCTGTGTTTTATTATCGGTTCTTCCGAGTGCTTGTACATCTAATTAGGAGCCTCTGGTTATCTCTTGAATGAGCTATCATGAATTTCTATATCAACACTTCCTGTCATCTAATGTTTACAATTCATTTATTGCAAATTCTATTTAATTTAGATTTTCTAATCTCCTGCTCTAATAGTTTGCTAGACCCTGCAGAAGCCTTAAAGGACCACTATAGTGCCAGGAAAACATACTCGTTTTCCTGGCACTATAGTGCCCTGCGGGTGCCCCCTCCCTCAGGGTCCCCCCTCCCGCCGGGCTGAATGGAGAGGAAGGGGTTAAATGTAACTCTTTCTCCAGCGCCGGGCGGGGATCTCTCCTCCCTCTTCTTCTTCTCCTCCTCCTCGGCTGAATGCGCATGCGCGGCAAGAGTCACACGCACATTCAGCCAGTCCATAGGAAAGCATTCACAATGCTTTCCTATGGACGCTAGCGTCTTCTCACTGTGATTTTCACAGTGAGAAGCACGCAAGCGCCTCTAGCGGCTGTCAATGAGACAGCCACTAGAGGCTAGATTAACCCATTTATAAACATAGCAGTTTCAGAGAAACTGCTATGTTTATTTAAAAAAAGAAAAAAAAAAAGAAAAAGGGGTTAACCCTAGATGGACCAGGCACCCAGACCACTTCATTAAGCTGAAGTGGTCTGGGTGCCTATAGTGGTCCTTTAAGTTCAATTTACAGAGCAGGAGATAAAAACTTTTAAAGTGAGTTACATCTGATTGAAAATTAATCCATTTTGTTTTCATGCAGGCTGTGTCAGTCACAGCCGGGGTAAGTGCACCTGGGGCTGCATTGACAGAAACAAAAGTGATTTAACTTCTAAATGGCAGAGAATTGAGCAGTGAGTATGCAGGGGCATGATCTATACACAAAAACCGTTTCATTAAGTCAACATTCTTTTGGTAATCATTGTGTCCCTTTAAAGGTCAAAATAGCCTAACTGGAAATTTCAGTCAGCTAAACTTTCAGTTTGGCTACTCTGGCCTTAATCTTGAAATCCCCATTTTAGTGAATAACCATGTAATTGTGTCTACATTTTCCAAAACTCAATACTTCCCCACGTACAGTGCATTTTAATTGTTTTTCACATTTGTGAATACACCGATGACGGATAAGATTCTGATTTCAGTCAAAACATTCCCCACATTCAGTGCAATTAAATTATTTTTCTCTTGTGAATAGTAAGATGCTTATTAAGGTAAGATTGTACATTAAAACATTTCCCGCATTCATTGCATTTAAATGGTTTTTCTCCTGTGTGAGTTTGCTGATGTCTGATAAGATCCTGCTTTCTATTAAATCCTTTTCCGCATTCATTGCATTTAAATGGTTTTTCTCCTGTGTGAGTTTGCTGATGTCTGATAAGATCCTGCTTTCTATTAAAGCATTTCCCACATTCAGAGCATTTAAATGGTTTTTCTCCTGTATGAATAATTAGATGCATATTAAGGTTATATTGTGCATTAAAGCATTTTCCACATTCAATGCATTTAAATGGTTTCTCTCCTTTGTGAATCAGCTGATGCCTGATAAGATCATGCTTTCGGTTAAAACATTTCCCACATTCAGTACATATAAATGTTTTTTCTCCTTTGTGAAACCGCATATGAACAATAAGATCCTGCTTTGCATTAAAGCATTTCCCGCATTCATTACATTGAAATTGGTTTTCTCCTGTGTGAATACGCTGATGTTTGATAAGATCCTGCTTTCTATTAAAGCATTTCCCGCATTCATTGCATTTAAATGGTTTTTCTCCTGTGTGAATCTGCAAATGCCTCATAAGATCCTGCTTTCGGTGAAAACATTTCCCACATTCAGAGCATTTAAATGATTTTTCTCCTTTGTGAATAATTAGATGCATGTTAAGATTAGATTGTACATTAAAGCATTTCCCACATTCAGAGCATTTAAATGGTTTTTCTCCTGTGTGAATAAGTGTATGTGTTTTAAGATTGTAACGATGATTGAAACATTTCCCACAATCAATACACTTAAATTGCTTTTCTCTAGTCTGAATCACTTGCGGTTTAACAAGAAGTGACCCATGAGTAAAATTATTCCTGTATTCAGATGAATCAGATACAATATACTTCTCAGCATCTGTGAAATCTCCTTTTGCACAGGGAGCGGATTCATCAGTCCTACTAGGTGTATGTACCCTGTATGTTTGGTCTGAGACAGAATCAACATCTCTGATATATCCATCCGCACGTAAAGATAAGGCTTCGTTAAAATGAATTGAAGTATATCTCTCAGTATGTCTGATGGGCGTAAAACTGTTTGTGAGATTGCCTTCTTTACATGGGGCTGGTTCCGCCTTAATATGAGCAGTTGGATATTCTACCTGTGGATGTTCTGTGGGTGTAAAAATGTATGTGAGATTTCCTTCTTCACATGGGGCTGGTTCCTCCTTAATAGGAGTAGTTGGATATTCTGTTCGTGGATGTACTGTGGGTTTAGAAAGGTCTGTGAGATTTCCTTCTTCACATGGGGCTGGTTCCTCCTTAATAGGAGTAGACGGATATTCTATCTGTAGATGTTCTGTGGGTATAGAATTGTCTGTTAAATTTTCTTCTTCACACAGCAAATATTCTTCTGACATGAATATTACAGATTTAATTCCTTTATGCTTTGTTTGGTTTATTATAGAAGATTTTCCATTGTTGCTTTTACCTTTGGTTCGGATATCTGATGAAGAAACAGGAATGTATAATCCATCAGGTACAGATTTATCTGTTGGAAGAAAATGCAAATTAAGAGCTAATAAATAAAATACCACAACAACACAGCTACTTTGTATGGCATTACACCCAAATAACAGCAAATAAACCTTTACTTACCCGGTGAATTGTGGTTCAGCATTATCATGCCCTTGTAGAGATCCTTGTGTCCTTCTATATACTCCCACTCTTCCATGGAGAAATAGACAGTGACATCCTCACACCTTATAGGAACCTGATACACACAGAATGATACAGTCACCATCCAAACACATCCCTTGGTTTTACTGTATGAGGTCCCAATTCCCAGCAACCTCACCTCTCCAGTCAGCAACTCAATGATCTGATTGGTCAGTTCCAGAATCTTCTGTTCATTGTTTCCTTCATGGATCAGGGAGCAAGGTGGAAGGACTGGGCTGGAGATAAAGGTCCTATGTAACTCCTCTGACACATGTGGATTGCTGCTAGTTGAGTCATTATTACTGGCCTTCACAACCATGGGACCCTTAATATTGAGAAACAGAGAAATGTGAACAAGAGTGAAAAGCCCCCATTTGAAGAGGCAAAACATAATCTGAAAGTCCTCTCCCATCTACTAGAATCCCCAGTTCATTGCTGGCTTCCTACAAATAGGAGTTTCTGCACTGATGCTCTGAGTAGATCTGATCATCCAATCATTGTTTGTCCTTGTTTTTTAGAGGTGGAAAATGGCCCAATGTCTCTTTAAAAAGGTTTTCTCCAAGCACCACCACTTAAATGATTTCAATGCATGGGGTCTGTGTGTGCCATGTTTCACTTTAAACCCTTGCGAACTAGTGTTCCAGACTGGCTAATGTCAATTCTGTGCATATTCATATGCACAAAATTGCATCCAATGTGCTATATTATTATTAAAGGATCACTATAGGGTCAGGAACACAAACATGTATTCCTGACCCTATAGTGTTAACACCACCATTTAGCCCCCCTGGGCCCCTTATGCCTCCATAAATATAGTAAAAATCTTACTGTATTCCAGCCTGAAACAGTAAATCTGCATGCTGTTAGATTCAGAAAAAAAAGCAGTTTGCTGACATGTGGTAGCCTGATCCAATCACAGTGCTTCCCCATAGGATTGGCTGAAACTGACAGAGAGGCAGATACGGGGCAGAGCCAGCATGATTCAAACACAGCCCTGGCCAATCAGCATCTCCTCATAGAGATGAATTGAAATCAATTAATCTCTATGAGGAAAGCATAAATTTTTACTTACCATAAATTTATTTTTCCTGAAGATTAGAGGCAGGTCTTAACAACAGGGATTTCTAATCTGGGGGGAAAACAGGCAGGCAGTCTCCCAAACTTTTCAAGAACCTCCAAGAAGGGGGGGAGGGGGGGAACTGCCTCTAATGTTCGGGGAAAATAAATTTACATTAAGTAAAAATTTATGCTTTTCCCTTCAGATTAGAGGCAATGCTTTACAACAGGGATAATCAAATCAATCCCCTAAGGCCGAGACTCATTTCACAACTGCATGTAACACCTTGCGCCCAAAGTTGCATCTTCTGAGGCCAATAGGCCTAATTGCAATGTTCAGCAAATGTGTGAAGAGATCACCACATGGTTGTAGAAAAAAATATGAGAAGGTATAGCTGAAGCCCTCAGGCGCAAGATGTGAACAAAGCTCTGAGAGAAAGAGCTTCAATAGAGATAGGTGTTAGATGAGAAAAAAAAGTCAAATGAATGCAGACTTTTAACCCTCTGGCCAGATCCTGTAGAAGCCATAAAACAAGACAAAAGTATGTTAGATTTCCTAATTGACTTAGTACTTTTTAGGTACTGCAGCAGAGAACTCTTAACATCCAGGCAGTGGAATTCGAATTCTAAAGCCTTAGAAAGCTGTTGGCCAAAGTTGGTAATAATGATAGATTGGGAATAAAAGAAGGATCCAACTGTGACGAAATGCCTTTTGTCACTGGATTGTTAGATGACAAGCTGCCCTTTGCCCCTGGCTGTTGGAGAAGCCTGATTGCCAGCCTCCTCTCTCATGACTATGGCCCTGGGGTGTATTGCCATTTAAAAAGACTATTTGGGGCTTATTGGCTTTGAAAGACTGTTTCTGCCCATTTGAATCCATGGGAAGGTGTGTCTCTTCCCCTCCCCTGTTTCATGTCTATTGTTCTCCAGCAGGGCGTTGTCCCAGCCACACTGCCAAACCAGTTGGAACTGACTGATTTTGTCCCTCCTTGGTTTCTCAATAGCCCTTGCTATGCTTTACCCCATGGCACATTTACTTTGCTACATGGGGATAGGTTGAATGTGGGGGTTCTGTGTAATATAATAAGAATTATGGATTTTTATGTCCTTTTATGTATTTTTGCTGTTAGTGTAAAATGTAGATATTTTCTGGACCTGGAGATAATTGAGTTTACTGCAGTGCCTTAAGCCAATTATCTCCAGGATGGAGAGGTGGGATTTCATTGTGTATGTGGGAGTGTTATTATGTTAATTAGTGTTCCCATTGGTTTATGTCCCTTTTGTCACAGTTTACCACCAGGTCCAGGGGGTGTGCCTCTGGCCTGAAAACTTCTATATAAGGAGTAATAAAACGCTCATTGGAGTCAGATCTTGTACCTTCATGAAGTTTCGGCTCATGTTTGGGGGATTGGAGAACTACACTCTGGGGATTGCTGTAATCACTATACTCCCCAGGGTATAATCACTTTGCTCTGCTAAGAGCTTGTTCCTGCTCACTGGAATTCAGAGAGGTCGACCTACTGGAAGCTGGACCCTGGTCTTGGGTCCAGAGTGGGTGGAGACGGCAAGACCCCAACCAAGCTGCGGCGGTTCTTGGGAGTCTACAGTGGTTATGCTGTCTGGCAGAGTGCTTAGAGTCCCGGAAAGCACTAGGAGCATCCATCAACGGAAGGTTCCCGGTCGGGTGCAAGCGATTCCGTTACACCAACTTTATCACCACTTTGTCCTGATGAAAAAAAAAAAAATGGAAAAAACTGAAGAGCTTGAAGTTCTCCCAAAAGAGGTAATTGCCCCTAAAAACCCTTGAGCAAAGACTCAAAATCAGCAGAGCTTGAAAACCCAAAATAAGACCCCATGGAGGAAAAAAATCCCTTGATGGTAGAAACCAAACGAGACAAAGTCTTGAATATTCTGTTGAGTTAAGAATATGGAGTAAAACAGCTGAATGAAAAGAACAGATAGCCGAAAATTGGACCTTGAGGATAGCTGGATTCAATTCTTTTGCAAAGCCCATCAGAAAAAATGGAAGCGGTTGCCAGATTTACTTTGAACTAATACATCAAAAACAAAACTTCTTCCATAACTGACCAAGATTCTTTTTTTCAGCATATATCAAAATCTCAATTCATGAGACAAAATCTTATCCTTCAATATCTGGTATTCAGAAACCAGGTCATCAGTTTGAATTTCTAAAAAGTTGGAAGAGGTACCATGGAGTGTTCAAGGATGTCTGACAGGGGAAGTTTCCAAAAGATAAATCCAGTTAAATTCAGATGAACGGTGAACCAACTTCTCGGACACCAAAGGAGGATTACGATTATTATTACCTTTTCCATCCTGTAGAATCCTGGGGATTAGAGAAATAGGTGGAAACTTAAAGGCTAGGCTGTAATTCCATAGAAAGAAAGGGAATCTATAACCTCTGGTCTGTCTAAGAGGTCCAAAGATGAAAATCCTCATGTTTGATCTAGAAGCCATCAGGTCTATATCTGGATAACCGAATTGCCTTGCTATTTGACCGAAGATCTGAGAGAAAAGGACCAATCTGCTTGTATTAAATGTGGACGACTCAGGGCGTAAAATTCTGAACGACATCATCTGGAAAGAAAAAACCTGACTGCAGTAAACGGAACGAGGGCTACCGAAAAAAAAAAAATTCATCAGAGCGTGAATGTTGAGTTTCATAGGTATGTACAAGCTGTACGTTTGTTTGTTCCAGAAGCTTAAAGGGCTTCTTTGGAGAGGTCTCCTCTGGCCTTTGCCCAACTGACCGCTGGGATAGAAGCTGGTGCTGAGGAAAGACCAAAGGAAAAGCTCTGAACTGATAAGGCAGAGTCTGTAACTGGAAGTTTATTACAAAGCTTAGGAATCTTTTGCTGGGTTCTGATTTAAACCTAATTTCACCTTATGGTAAGAAACGACTGGTATCCCATCCAGAAACAAACCAGGGACAAGTCTGCTCAGCTTTTGAAACTAGCCATTATGAAGCCAACTCAGACTATAGTAGCCCGAGTTACAGACTTTCCAAATGAAAACTTGTTGATTGTCTTGAGATCTAGAACGGAACTGTAAGAACCGTCTGACATCCTTCATTTCTGCCTGGTTCAAATGGAATGACAGAATTTTTGGATTTACCTGCAAAAATCTTTTCAAATTCTTCCAGCAAATGTTTCTGTGCCTTTGCCACTGAAGAACCTGTAATCAGTGCTACGCATAGAGATGCTGAAGAGACAAAAATAAATAATTCTTTAAAGAAGATTTTAAAAACGATTTTTCATAGCATCTCATCTATTGAAGGATAAGAGAGATTTAAAGTGTTAAGAAATGAAAGGATTCCCTCCTGGGAATTACCATTCCCTGAGAATCAAAACCTTCAATGTGGAAGCAAAGGGAAAAACTTGGATTTCTGTCTTTGCTCCTGAACTGTTCCTTATCAAGCAACGGAAACTGCACTGCTCTGGTAGAGGGAATTCTTCATCAGAAGATTCCTAGAATCCTTGTTTAGGCTGTTGACAAAGCACCATAACCTTTATGGGCAGGGGTACAAAAAACAATGAGGTGCCTGTTAGGCAGCAGCATTGTAGTAAATCAACAAATTTATAGGATGGGAACATTCTGCATAGTGAGTGAATCACAAGTAGCAATTGCCATATAAGCTCTTTCTTTAAAAATAAAACGGCAAAACAAACTTGGGCAGTAACAATAAACCATTTAATCCCGTATCTATGGCAGTGCAGGGTACAAAATTAATATGGTGGATATGTCCCATGATCAATAGGCCTGCAGCCGTACCAGCCATCGACGTCAAGCCCAGCAACATGAGGAATAAATATTTTCCCATGGAGGCTAGTACATACAGGCTACCATCTTTACTAGCCGAAGAGAGACTACCCATGATTTAGGCTTTTTCTTAGCCGGATTAGGGAAGCAGAGGCTTGAGCAGACTGAATGGCTGCAGACTGCATTTCAAACATGTTTGATGCAAACTTTGCAGGAACCAATTTTAGGAAAGCATTTCCTTATATTTTGCAATTCCACAATCAGTTCAGCACATTCAAAATATATAACTGATATAATTATAGGACTTGGAATTAAAAAAGGATGAAAACATAAAATGTGCAACCCTGGAGTTAAGCACAGGAAAAGTTCTGCCCGAGCAGAAAACAGACTACACCTTTAAGAAACTGAGATCAGGTGAAACAAGTTGAAGTGGTGATAAGGCTACTTGTAACAGAGTTTCAGAGAATTGTCTACAGTGTTCACTAAAAGCCTACTGCTTGCTCTAAGAAACCTTCACTGAGGCTGGGAGTCTGGAATTTAATGGATCCATCTGCTACAAAAGTATCTGAATACAAGAACAAGATTTTTAAATTATCAGCCTCCATAAGGAGATCATCCAGCGGTTAATCCTCCAATTGTGAAGAAGGATTGGTAATATATTCCACAGGAACACCTTACTTTCTTTATATATCTGACTCTGTTGCATCATATAGTGATTATTGGAACTCCTCATCACTTATTTTAACTGTGTTAGCAGCTATTTATAGTAATAGCTAGGAATACTTGTTCTTTTAAACAAATTTGAGATTTTATACAATTTATGTTTATGGGTATATACCTAATACTCTCAAATTATATATGTGTGTGTATATATATATACACACACACACACACACACACATATACATATGCACACTTACACCTCTAAATATACATATATCTATCTCTGGCACCCCCCTGGGGAAGTGTGCATAGACATTTAGGCTCTACACAAATTGCTAATATATCAGAATAAGAACCCATTAGAATCTATTATGGGACCGATCTACTAAGTGCTTACATTTTCAATGCACTATTTGTTTAAAGAATTTAGGAATAATCTTTTATGTGTTAAGCAGCTAATAACATCGTTTTACCATTATTCTTAGAACTATCTGCACTTTTTTGTTTAACAATTTTAACTGGGTTGGGAACATGCAGCACAGAACAAATAGATAACAATTCAGGCTAGACTCATTTAAGATAAAAGCAAAAACAGTCTTAACTTAAATGGCCTCAAAGTGTGTTGGAGTGAAGGTGAGAACACACTTGCAACAGATTCTGAGTGCAGCTGGCAATCAGTTCGTTGCTGCTGGGTAAACAGCCTCTCTAAATCCTGGAAACCAAAATTTTGAAACAGGGAGAGAAAAAAAAATGTTGGCCCCTGAATTTTGAAATCGCATTGCGCATGTGCCATGCGTGCCGCAATTCCACGGTGAAAAGCATCGCAACCTGTAGGTGTGTCCCACCGCCAGGACCTCCCAGCTAGCGCACGCATGCGCACCATCATCTGCCTGGCATGGTATAGACAGAAGTAATACAAACAGGGGAGATGCAGACATTCGGCGTGCTTATCCCTGGCAGATCTCCGGAAAAAAAATAAAAGAAGCAGAGTCTCCCAAGCCTCAGCCCTCTCACCATACTCCTGGGGGAAAACCTGACACCCTCCTCTGCCGAAGGAAGATAAAGAACTGGGGCTGTCCTAGGTAAGAGGCAATTTATAGTGCCAAAGGTTAATTGGGGGAGGTTCTTGAAAAGTTTGGGGGATTGCCTGCCTGTTTTTTCCCTCCAGATTAGAAATCCCTGTTGTAAAGCACTGCCTCTAATCTGAAGGAATACGTTCATTGTCTGCATGGAGAGGGAGGAGATACTGAATCACAGGATGCTGTGCACAGTGCTGGAAAATGGGGGATGGGTCTGCGCCACTGTGCACAACAGATAATGATATTAAATCCAATGGGATCTATATCGTTGTAACCAAGGTTCTACTTTATACGATATCCAGAAGATGTCAATGACGTGGAGGATAATCCAAATATATAAAAATAGAAGAGTTCTTACTTACAGTTGACAGAGCTTAATCCAGCTCTGGTGTGAATGGCTTACAGCGGTATTATCCCCGCTTGCAGGATATACGGCAAGTGTCCTCTTCTATGTAGTGGCAGGTAACCAAGTTGGAAATAAAAATGGAAACAATAATGGTGCAGTATGTTCCACACATGCGATGAGATATAAAATATAATAGACACACTCACATTCGGTAGAGCTTCAGCTAGCTCTAGTTAGTTAGGCGTGCAGCGGTATAATCCCCGCTTGTAGGATATGGGATGAGTGATCTTGACGCGAATATCAGTAGAGGATTTTGCAGAGTTGCAGAAGTTGAAGATAAGAGTTTCAGGAGGATTCCGGCGACGGGACACACGGAGTCTCCATAGAGGATCAGGATGTTTTCAGGAGCCAGGATACAGGATGTTTTCAGGCAGAACACTGACTTTCCTCCTGAAACTCTTATCTTCAACTTCTGCAACTCTGCAAAATCCTCTACTGATATTCGCGTCAAGATCACTCATCCCATATCCTACAAGCGGGGATTATACCGCTGCACGCCTAACTAGAGCTAGCTGAAGCTCTACCGAATGTGAGTGTATCTATTATATTTTATATCTCTTATCGCATGTGTGCACCATTATGGTTTCCATTTTTATTTCCAAACTTCGTTACCTGCCACTACATAGAAGAGGACACTTGCCGTATATCCTGCAAGCGGGGATAATACCGCTGTAAGCCATTCACACCAGAGCTGGATTAAGCTCTGTCAACTGTAAGTAAGAACTCTTCTATTTTTATATATTTGGATTATCCTCCACGTCATTGACATCTTCTGGATATCGTATAAAGTAGAACTTTGGATACAACTATATAGATCCCATTGGACTTAATATCATTATCTGTTGTGCACAGTGGCGCAGACCCATCCCCCATTTTCTTGCTTTGTCTATTTATCTCCAGGGACATTAGAGGGAGTCCTTGTTTGGGACTGCTGCCTTCCTGATTAGCGCTGACTCTACTCCTTGTTTTGTGCACAGTGCTGCCCTGTGCTCTGCTGACAGCAGATCTGAGTGGATGGAGGCATATTATGAATCCATCAACTCCGAAGTCCCTCTGGTTCACTCTGAGTGACTGCAACTGGAGGTGTTCCCGGCTTTCAATGTAAACACTGTATTTTCTCAGTAAATACAGTGTTTACATGAGAAAGGCTGAAGGGAGCTATAGTTCTCACCTGAACAACCTCATTAAGCTGTTCAGGTGACTATAGTGTCCCTTTAATATATATATATATATATATATATATATATATATATATATATATATATATATGCAAACGTAGCCACTTCAGACTATTCCTTTATATATCTAATGGTTGTCCTAGAAAGGCTGTTTAACCTGTGTTTTATGTGTTCGCGTAAAAAGGTGATAGAGAGCATTCGTATGCTAGTGGCGCAAAAGCTGCTAGCATTCATATGGTAGTTTCACGAACAGTGACTTTCAACACTGTTCGTGAAACGAACAAAGTACCAAATGGGAGACCACACACAGGAGGTCGTGTGGCTCCCATTAACAGATTGCAACATTGTAGCGTTCCCCAGTTAATTGATTCGAGGGGTGGCCGCCGTTCGGATACCGACCACGCGGCGGCCATCTTGGATTCACTTTTAGCCCAGCTGTGTTTGGTCGTCGAGTGCTGGAACTAAAATCGGCTACTCAACGGCACAAGGACCGCTGGACTTCCAGACCGTTCGGGAACACCGGTCTTTCGGTACTTTCGCTCAAACTATGTATTCGTGTCTTTTATGGAGAATTCATATTAAAATGTATTTTGTGTGGCGTTCGGCTAATTGTGCTGGGATCTGAGCGGTAATCTACCGAAGTATGCGCTCAGATCCCAGCTTTCTACTCATATGTCATTCGGTCCAATAGCACGAATAATGTGCCAGTTACATATTTTTGAGTAAAAAGCCCGGTTCTGCTGTACGGAGGGATAATCCACTTAACAGGATATTCTGTTAGAGTATCCCTCTCGTACAGCAGTGCATGGTGGGAAAAATGTCCTGCATGTTCAGTTCCCCATGTAGTCCCCTACTGTATAACCCCTGTAAAATGATTAAGGAAACCCCTTCCATGGGGAATCACATAAATACTGGAGCATGTGAATAAAAACCTCAGTTGACTCCCAGAACTGTGTTTCATCCAGTTACTGGGGGATTTGGGATATTGCCTTCATTTCAGCGTTTTTCTCGGATCACTTTCTTTTACCAGCGGAGATACTGGGATTTAATATTGCAGCTCCGCTACATACATACATATATATATATATATATATATATATATATATATATATACACATACACACACACACACACACAATACCAGTAGAGAGCACTCAGGATTTCATCTCTTGCTTTATTGAGCAATTACAAATTCACACAACGTTCCAGTCGGCGTTTCAGTCTGTAAAAGTGGTCTTGAAAAAAGTATTTTTCCAGCTTTCTATTAGTTTGTACCATATTAATTTCGGTTCTTGTTTTTGTTAATAATAGTGCCAGCCAGGGCCGTCTTTAACAAGGGGCAAACGGGGCAGCTGCCCTGGGCCCAATAACTCTTGGGGGGCCCAAAGCAGCTACCCCGTGGGCCCCCTGCCCGCAACCAGGACTGAACAGCCCACCAGTATACTGAGAAATCTTCCGGTGGGCTGCGGCACGTGAAGTAATCAGGGCCCCCCGGCCGTTTAAGAGTGCTCCTGACCGGGCCCCTGTCTTCCTGCCTGCTGGGAGGAGGTGAGGTGAGATCACTTCCTCCCAAGTAACAGAGTACCGCTGGGGAGGAGGAGACACACATGGAAGTGGAGGAGAGGGAGGATGCACACACAGGAGGAGAGGGACTGAGGTAAACATGTTCATCAGACTCCCATCAACCTCAGCCATCCAGCTTCCACTGGACCCCAGGGAAGCCACCCTTCTCTAAAGGTAAGGAGACAAGAGGGTGGCTAGACTTAAATTGATATAAATGTGTGTATATCTGACTATGTGTGTGTGTGTATCTGACTGTGTGTGTGTATCTGACTATGTGTGTGTATCTGACTATGTGTGTGTATCTGACTATGTGTGTGTATCTGACTATGTGTGTGTATCTGACTTTATGCGTGTGCATCTGACTATGTGTGTGTGTATCTGTATGTGTGTGCATTTGTATCTGGCTGTATGTGTGTATCTGGCTGTGTGAGTGTCAGTGTGTGTGTATCTGGCTGTGTTTGTGTCAGTGTGTGTGTATCTGACTATGTGTGTGTATCTGACTGTGTGTGTGTGTATCTCACTTTATGCGTGTGCATCTGACTATGTGTGTGTATCTGTATGTGTGTGCGTTTGTATCTGGCTGTATGTGTGTATCTGGCTATGTGAGTGTCAGTGTGTGTGTGTATCTGGCTGTGTTTGTGTCAGTGTGTGTGTATCTGGCTGTGTCAGTGTATGTGTACCTTTGTGTCAGTGTTTATGTGTATCTATGTGGATGTATACCTGTTTCTGTGTACTTGTGTGTCAGTTTGTATGTGTACCTGCGTGTCTGTGTATGTGTATCTGTGTATGTATGAGTGTCAGTTTGTGTAAGTGTGTATCTATGCGTGTGGCAATGCATACGTTCCATCATTCCAGTACCAACACTGCACACACATACACTACTACATTCCAACGCTAACACTGCACACAAATACACCACTGCATGTGTATCTGTGTTCCTGTGTGTATCTCAGTGTTTGTGTAAGTGTGCATCTGTGTGGCAATGCATACATCCCAGCATTCCTTCACCAACACTGCACACAAATACACCCCTGCATGTGTACCCGTGTGTCTGTGTGCATCTTAATGTGTGTATATATCTGTGTCAGTGTGTGTAAGTGTGTATCTCTGTGTGTGGATGTGCCAGTGTTTTTATCTCTGTATCTGTGTGTGTGTGTATGTATGTATGTGTCTGTGTGTGTATACGCCAGTCTGTTTGTATCAGTCTGTGCATGTGTCCAGATGTGTGCATGTATCAGTGTGCTAATGTGTATGGATATCTGTGAATGTATGTCATACATCCAAGCAATCAAACACAACATGCAAACACACCCCTGCAAACACAAACATTACATACAAACACGCCCCTGAATTCAAACTCAAAAAGTATATAGAAACACACCCCTTCACTCTAACACCAATACTACACCGTACATGCACACACATACTCTATACAACAACATGCTCACATTCAAATTTACAAACACAGCTCACAAACACAGCCCTGCAAGAATGACCAAATGGTAGATCCCCAACTGGCATAGCATCGTTGGAATTGTACAACAGATGAGGATCTATCTTTTCTCCATTATTGTGCTAGATGGGAGGCCAAAAAAAATGTCTTGCACCTGGGCCTTCTCTACATTATTTATGCCACTGTATTGGGGTGGAGGGCATGACTGCATGCCAGGGGGTGGAAATGTGTGGAGGGGAAGGGCAGGATCCAGGGGGCCCAAGCAAATGCTTGTCCAGGGTCCAATCAATGTTAAAGACAGCCCTGGTGCCAGCTATTTTTTTAGTTTATTAATTGAGACTATTATTGCTGCTAAGACTGATCTGCCGACTTTATAAATATATTGTATATTATCTACTCTAGATACCACAGCAATGTAGTTTGTTCTTGGTTTGATTTCAATTTTTTTTGTTCCTTGTAAGTACTATTATTTTCAGCAGACTTAATAGGATGTATTTTGTTACATGCACTCTCCATTCATGGCCTTAGTGTGACATGTCTAATTGGTGATTTTGACTCTGCCTATCACATATCAATTATTCACTTAATCACATCATAGATTTATACTGACAGTTGGTCTACACCTCTTAGTCTGCCCACTGCTCTGTGTATTGTTTGTGTAAACTCAGTTTTTTTTTATATGTTCATTTATATATTCCTCCCTCTAGAGACTCTTGTGTCTGTTTCTGTATATAGATCCCGGACTTGGGATGCTGTTTACTTTCACTTTTCACGGCAGCATTTGGTCGCCTAGTAACCACGTTCTTCTCCCGCGATACGTCATAACATGATGACATTACCGTGGCTTTCAGCACTTCCGGGTTAGTTGTGGCTTGTAGGTGATGGGTTCACAAGATTTCCTCTCACATCATTGGTAAGTCGTTCTATTGTTACATGTATATATGGTCACTTGTGTGTTTGTGCTGTGATCTTGAAAAAGACCCTTAGGGGTTGAAATGTCGATTTTGTTCACGGATGTATTGAAGATGTTTTTCACTTAATAAGCCAGTTTTCACTTTACTGAAGACCTGTGAGTGCACCCCTGACTTTATGTTTTTATATTTTGAAAGCGGGTAGCACCTAGGCAAAATACTTTCCTTTTTTTTCAAAGTAAGGAGAGTGCCAAGCTGTTCTATATTGTATGTTGGAAGGCCATTTCGCCTGAATTTGTAGGAGGAGTTATGATCCTATATCCTATATAAACCCTACTTACCTTTGTCGTGAAAGCTGTTTGTCTTCATGGTTACCTGCACTTCCGGTCGTTGTTCCTGCCAGTCCTGCCTCGAACAAACACTCTGTCTTCAGCAGCTCCTGCCGCCGACATCTGTGCTCCGCTGTATTCCTTACTCGTTACCCGGCGTTCTTGCTTCTGATCACGGGACCGGCACGCACACGTAAGCATCAACGTGGGAAATAGCATTCGGGCCTAAAAACGCGGGGATAGGCTACCTATATTACTTACCTGTTTGTATAACTCTGCTGTTCGTGTACTTCTGCGTTCGTGTGGCTATTAGCCGACCGCAGAGTACACACTCGTTCGGTTTTCTTTCGTTAGTATTAAATACCGACCGCTTAAACTCACCTACGTTCGCCTGTTTCTTACATACGTTCATTAGCCGAAACACGTACGGACAGCTGTTTTACTAGCTTTTAGTTTTTCCTAATGTATCACATGCGGTCCTGTTATATCCCTCTTGCACTTTCATTAACCATACGCATGAGGTTTTATGCAGTTATTTGTATAATTTTAAGTATGTTCATCAAATTTGTTCCTTTTATAAAACATGTACACAGTTCTCCCTACGTTTTCCTTAAATCAGAGTGTCATTATTCATCACCCATAGTCACATTTAATTATGCATAAATTACCAGGGGCATTCTCTTAAAGACACAGTTAGCCTCCTTACGCTTTTTGATGTAAAAAAGTCAAGCCAATCAAACCGCTTAAATTTTTGCAGCTCCACGCGCAATTTGTTCATTAGCTCTTATTTCTAAAATCTCTATTTATATTAAAAACACTATACTCTGGTTCCTTATTTTTAAATAATGAATGTGTTTTAGGTTCTACTACTCTTCTTCAAGAAAACTCTAGGAGGTGGTACCAGTATCCCGTCTCACGGTATCAGGTAGAAAAAGGTTAACATTTTTACATTTCTCCTGAGGCCTCATTCAGCCTCCACGGCCTTTTTTACTATCCCTTCCCTCCTCCCACAGTGGGTTCTAACTTCAAAACACACCAGCTCTAAAGATGCCTCACCCTCCATGTTACTATTATATTAATGTACTAAATTTGTTTAGCATTTCTACATATCATTACTTAGACCTGCACCATGTCGCAGATCCACTACGCCATCAACAAACCAACAGGCTACCTGGACCCCGACGTTTCAGTATCATTAATTTTACTCACTACGATTATGTTCCTTCTAAGGCCTCATTTTGCCTTTGTATCTTTCACAAGTAATGCACATTTGTGGGAATCCAGGGGCTTGTCTCAAAATATTTAGACCAACGTTCAGGTCCCTCAGCTTACACTGGTTCTTACGCTACAGCTTCGCTGTTACACTCCTTTCCATATGTTCTACATTTTTACACTTGGCATACCAGTGGCACGCCTCAGGCCTGCTAGCATCCTTTTACCCCTAGGTTCCTGGACTGGACCTGTTATTCGCAATATATATATATATATATATTATATATATATATATATATACATACATATACATACACACACACACACACACACATATATATATATACACATATACACACATATATATTGAAGTCGCCCTGAGCATTGTCTAAATATACAGGACAAACACTCAAGGTCAGTATCTACATACGTCACATACTTCCTTTCTAGAGACAAGCCCCGTCATGTTAGAGAACTGGCTTTCAGGGTTAGGCGCTGGCCCTAGCTTTCCCAAATAATACTGCGGTCTGCAAGGTGTACACCCCCACCTCGTACCCGGAGGTTCAGCCCCATGACCAAATCATAGCTAGCCACCTCGCTCACTCTTCTTTGGGCTACAGTTAGGGCTTCCCAAGTCACGGCCACACGTTTTGAATCTATTACTGTCACCGAGAGGCCAACATCCTGCCATCTTGTCACTTGGTCCTAGGTTAATTCTTCGCCTCGGCACTAGCTAGCAGCCAGTTCTCCGGAGGTCTCATCCAAATCATTATTTCTTTTCAGAATGTCACAAGCATCCATCCCAATAATCTGTCTACTGTTGGACGAAATACCCAGCACACCAGTCAGGCCTGGGTCTCCCCCTTTTCAGTCGGTCCCTCTTCCAGGCTTGTTTTCTGAGGCATAGTATTGGACTCCACTACTTTCCAAGCCAGCCTCCCAGACGTTCTGTTCCGCATTAGGAATGGATTTGTCCTGCTCCTGCAGAGTGTTGCGCACAATTGGAGGGGGCTTCAGTCCTGGTTTAGGCCCCTCAACTTTGTTGTGCGTATCATTCCGCAGGGCTGGTCTCTTGTCCCTGGGCTACTTAAATTTGCTCCACGAGGTACCAACCCCTGCCCAACCATTCGGGCGATCCAGCCAGGACAGTTTTACACAATTGGAGTAGTTTTTTGGCCGCATGGACTGTGATTTCATTGGTCATTCCCCCACTTTCAAAACACTCACTTTCAATTCACACAGACGCAGCAGCACACACAGGGTTCGCAGCCTTTTTTCAGTAACCACTCGTTAGGGACGCCTGGCCCACTGAGTCGGATGCCTTGCCGGCCTTTGGAGAGAACTCTACTTTGTTGGAGATCTACCCTTTCGTGGTGGCCTCCCTCACTCTGGGTCATCTTTGGACCGGCAAGGCAGTGGAATGCTGCTCTGACGACTCTGCAGCCTGCGATTTCATTAGCAAGGGTGGTCATACTCACCGCCACTGTGGATGATTCGTCAGACAGCAACCACTCAGCTCTTTCTGGTCTACATTTACATTCCTGGTGTCCACTACATAGCCACTGACACTCTTGCACGCTCTCATTTTAAGGTCTTCTTTCAGGCACTCCCTATGATCCACTACATGTCATCCGGGATACCACCATTCCATGAGCTAATCTTGGACTAAGCACACAATTGCACCACGTACAGGTGCGCTCACTTCACGCAGTTTCACGACTACTCTATCACTCACGCCAGGGCCTTGTATATTGTACATGTCACAGAGTTTGCTTGAATCAAGACTTTTGCAGTTAAATATGTTTTTTTTGCCTCTTTCTCCAAACCTACAAATCAAGCATCTTACTTAAACCTCCTATGCGGTCACTCCGCTTTACGTCTCCAAGGTCAACCACACACTATCAGTCCTAATCCACTACTTCACATCTAAACCTTCCATTAAGGTGGAGCTACATCATGGCTTCCTTCGCTGGCCTCTCTGTCACAAAGCACTGCATCAGCAGCTTCAAGCTCTTACACCCTAGTCTACATCACTAAGAGTCGGGGCCACGGGCAATCCTCAGCGCAGTTACATATATACATCAATCAGAGTAAAAGCTCCTCACAAGCTTTCAGTACCCACACTGTATAAACTTGCATAAAGTGTGTTTTCTTTGAATCCTCTTTTACAGGCCTACTCGTACGTTGGTTTCGACACACCTCAACCAACGTTGTTTCTCCTTCTACATCCCATTACCTATTAGATGAATTCCGAGCACAAGTTGGAAGGTCATTTGGCCTGAATTTGTGGTAGGAGTTATGATCCTATATCCTATATAAACCCTACCCCCCCCCACTTACCTTTGTCGTGCAAGCTGTTTGTCCCCACCCACCTACACCCAGCTATATTAACAAAACTTTGTGGGCCCTCTTTTACAGGCCTATTTGTACGTTGTGTAAAGTCTGGTCTTCCTAATGCAACACACAGAGATGAGGGAGTCTGACTTTAGGTGAATTGCTCAAAACTGAACCAAGACAGGGATACACCCAAAACCTGTCTAAAGATATAGAGGACAGTAATACCTTAATTCAAGGTAGTGTGTTCAGGAGCTAATTCACTTTTAAATGGCTTATTCAATGGAACTAAATATATGGTTATATCGAAATCTGGAACGGTGGATGATTACCAATGTATACAATATGTGTGGTGTGTATACCTTTAAATCTGCTAAAGGCAGATTCTATCTGTTACACACCAAATGATCTGCTTAATGGAAAGCAACTATTTACTACAGGACAACAACATGAAAAGTAGTTGTCTGTTTGGTATTATAATATATACAGTTATACAAAAGGTAGTGTATATCTCTTTAAATCTGCTAACAGCAGAATAAATAGTGCAAATCAATGCTTAGCTTGCAGTAGAGAGATAAATATGAATGCTTACTTTGGCCAGTGTTTTCGACTAAGTGGCTACTAAAAAAGACTGGACATACCCCATATTGAATACCCTGGGTTGTCTACTTTAAAAAAAATATGTACATGTGGGGTGTTATTCAGAGATTTATGACAGATAATAGTGTTACAATGTCACTATTGATAAATTTTAAAAATGTATGTTTTGAAACCGCAATATCCTACTTGTACCTATAGCCCTATAACATGCAAAAAAAAGCAAAAAAGCACGTAAACACTAGGTATTTTTAAACTCAGGACAAAATTTTGAATCTATTTAGCAGTTTTTTTCATTCGCTTTTGTAGATGAGTAAAAGATTTTTCAAGTAAAAGTCAAAAAACATGTATTTTTTTCAATTTTTCATCATATTTTTTTATTTTTTTTAAATTAAAATACATGAGATTATATAAATAATGGTATGTAAAGAAAGCCCCTTTTGTCCTGAAAAAAACAATATATAATTTGTATGGGAACAGTAAATGAGAAAGCGGAAAATTACAGCCAAACACAAACACCACAAAAGTGTAAAAATATGCCTGGTTGCAAATGTACAACATGGCAAAAACAGTCCAGTCCTTAAGGGGTTAAGGACTGAGCCACATGTACACATTGTAAACAAAACAAAACGTAAACAAAACCTGGCATTTGCGCTACATGTCTGTCCAACCGTAATTCACATTAAATGCACCCACCCTTATTACATATCATTTTATTCAGGGGAAACAGGGCTTTCATTTAATATCAAATATTTGGCTATGAAGCATAATTTAATATGAAAAAAATGGGAGAAAATAAAAATTTTTTATTTTTTTAGTTCTACATGACATTTTAACTGTCACTGTCATAATACTGTTTGCTTTTACTGCAATAAAATACACATATTTGTATTCAGCAAAGTCTCTCACGTGTAAAACAGTACCCTCTATGTACAGATTTTATGGCGTTTTGGGAAGTTACAGGGTCAAATATAGCACGTTACATTTGAAATTGAAATTCTCCAGATTGGTTACATTGCCTTTGGGACTGTATAGTAGCCCAGGAATAAAATTTACACCCATAATGGCATACCATTTGCAATAGTAGACAACCCAGGGTATAGCAAATGCGGTATGTCCAGTCTTTTTTAGTAGCCATTTGGTCACAAACACTGGCCAAAGTTAGCGTTAGTATTTGTTTGCGTGTGAAAAATGCAAAAAACGCAAATTTTGGCCAGTGTTTGTGACTAAGTGGCTACTAAAAAAGACTGGACATATCCCGTTTGCAATACCTTGGGTTGTCTACTATTGCAAACGGTATGCCATCATGGGGGTAATTTTCATTCTTGGGCTACCATAGGGTCTCAAAGGCAACGTAACCAATCTGGCGAATTTGAATGTGAAAAAAATGAAACACAAGCCTTATATTTGACGCTGTAACTTTTGAAAACACCATAAAACCTGTACATGAGGGTACTGTTGTACTCGGGAGACTTCGCTGAACACAAATATTTGTGTTTCAAAACAGTAAAAAGTATCACAGCAATAATATTGTCCGTGTAATGCTGTTTGTGCGTGAAAAATGCAAAAAAGTCACTTTTACTGGCGATATCATCGTTGTAATACATTTTACTGTTTTGAAACACTAATATTTGTGTTCAGCGAAGTCTCTCGAGTAGAACAGTACTCCCCATGTACAAGTTTTATGGTGTCTTGGAAAGTTATAGGGTTAAATATAGTGCTAGCAAATTAAATTCCCTTTACTTTCGGCATGGGATGTCAGCTAGGTCCCGCTAATTGTAATTAAGATACCTAATTATGTAAAAATATTACATAAATATATATGTAGAATTAGTATATGTGTATATATATATATATATACGTATGTGTATATATATATAATATTTTTTAAATATTTTTATATATATATATATATTGTGATATATACGTATATATTTATGTATATAGATATATATATTATTTCGTTCTACGTGTAGTTTGATATAAATATATATTAATATTCCAATACAGTAAGAACGAAATAACACACATCTGTATATTTTTTATTTATTTTTTATTATTTTTTAAATTTTATTTTTAACGTATTTACATATTTTTTGATAATATATATATATATATATAGATATATAAAACAATAATTATATATATATTTAAATCAGTATCAGCCTACGTGTAATTTGATATATATATATAGTAAAATACACCTAGACAGTGTATGTATATGTATATATATATATATATATATATATATATATATATATTTATATTAAGATCTAAGTATATTATTTAATTTTTTTACACTTATTTTAAAATTAATTTTATTTGATTTCCAGCCAGCAGGGGGACTACCTGTCATTACAGGCAGTCCCCCTGCTGGGTGTCCCCCCAACCGCGATCGCCGGCGACCGGATAAGTAAAAAAATACCGGGGGGCGTACTATTACGCCCTGCGGCGCTTAGAGACGCTTAGAATAGGGAGTAATAGTACGCCCTACGGTCTTAAGGGGTTAAAAACATGAAGCTAAAGCGCAAATACAAAAACTTATAAATATATTTTGCATAAAACAATATAATTTAATTGGGTACAAGCACATTAATTGAAGATTATTCAAAGTGAAATCTTGGTGCACCTTTAAGAAATCTGTTATACTAAAGCATTAAATTATAGGTATATTTTTATTTTGTAATTGGTGTTAAGAAGCACCTAAAGGACCTGTAGCTCAATTAAGTGGTCTGGGTGCCAGGTCCATCTAGTGTTAACCCTGCAGCTATAGACATAGCGTTCACACTAGGGTTAATTCAGCCTCTAGTGGCTATCTCACTGACAGCTGCTAGAGGCGCTTCCGCGCTTCTCACTGTGAAAATCAGTGAAGTGAAGATGCTGGCGTCTAGCGAAAAGCATGCATTCGGTGCTGATGTCGGCAGAGGGTGGAGAGTTCCCCAGCGCCGAAGGAGCCTGGCGCTGGAGAAAGGCAAGTGTTTAACCCCTTCAGCCCAGCGCAGAGGAACTCTGAGGGCGTGGGGGGCGTAAAGACCCTTGAGTGCCAGGAAAACAAGAATGTTTTCCTGGCACTATAGTTGTTGAAGTTAATCACCTATACATGTTTTTAAGAAAGAATATAAGTGCCTCAATATATGTGTTATTTTTGGTACCTACAAAATTGCATTCATTGGATAAAAGCCATCAGCATTTTCCACATTCAATAGTTTTTTTTCCTCGTTTGTGAATCACCTGATGCCTAATAAGATTCGGCTAAGAGCAGTCAGCTAATCCTGTCAATCAATGATTTGACGTCAGAATGGGTTTCCGCCTTGGCAGTTTTGCACAGTAGGTGCCCCATTGCAAAACGGTTTGTCCTATTAATGGGAAACAGGGCAAGGGTACTCCTGGCATGAAAACTATTTTATTTCCACAATTTGCTGAAAGAGTGAAGCAAGATTATTTTAATTTAGGTGAAAATTACATTAATCCAGAATCCCTCACTTATTGAGCTAGCATGATGATTATCTCCTGCCCAAAATTACACGGAATCCCTGCATTTTCAATCTGGAATGCTTTTTTTGGGTGGGATTAGTCTGATATGAAAATGGTTTCGGTTCTCTCTAAAATGGCACAAGAATAACCAAAATTGGCTTCAGAACGGAGTAAGGTCAACCAAAGAACAAGCTATTTGAGTTGTTCTGTGTTCTCGACATTCGCTTGCGTTCTGTTTTGGTCTGTTTACCCAGAAACCTCCAACTCTCCAGACAGCAGACAGATAATCTAGTATTACCCAGAATCCCTCACCTCTCCAGTGAGTAGGTGGATGATCTCCATGGTTAGATCCAAGATCTGCTCAGCCACCCGATTCCTGTCGTTGTTCATGATTTACTGAAATGCTCTAAGAACGGACTCTGGCACTCTTGGAATTAAAGCAACCGCAGTAGTACTGTAATTGAAAACAGTGGTTCTAAATCATTTTAACACTACACTTACATGAGATATAACAGTTACAAAATGCATGGTTAATAGAACGGAGTAATGTAATATGCATTTACAAAATTGTGGCAATCCCAGTGATGAGACTAGCTCCTCTCTACCTGGAGATAATTGGGTCTGATAAAGTAATAACTCCATTATCTCCAGGCAGAAAAATTACTGTTTCCCCAAAACTTGAAACATACCCTTAAACATAATATTCCCACAAAAGTCATATCCCATGATAGCCCTGATCTGGGTGACCAACATATGCAAAAATCACCCAGATCAGTTCAGGGGTTTTCGAATTCCATGGAAGTCTTGGGTGAACGGCTGCACATGAAGCTCCTGCCCAAAACAGTTCCACAAGTTTTGGTGGTTTGGCCGGTCTAGTTTGTGAAGTCTGAATAAATGAATAAATTCACAAACTGCTCCCCCTGGCTCAAAGTAGTGATTGTTCCCCTCATTCGTGGGAACAAAACTACTGAATATCACTCTCCTAGCTGTTGGGGAAAAGGAAGGTGTTCGTACAGTTGGACCGGTGTTCATGAAGTCGAGTGTCCGATTTAAGTCCCAGACACTCGACGACCAAGTCCCGCTGCCTCCTTTCGTGCAAACAAGAGGAGCGGGCTTAAACAACTGCTCTCAGCCGTGGGGTGGTCAGTGTTCGGTAGTTACAGCTACCAAATGAAATAAAATAAACAAAATAACTTTGTGATTTCTTCACAATTTCTTCCCTTACAGTTATAATGCTGGCAAAGCATTAGGGGAGATGTAGCACCATCTCTTCCTCATGTAAACAACACACATGCATCCATCCATCCAAGAAAACAAGATTCATCAGACCAGGTTACATTCCATTGGTCCATGGTCATGTTCTGATGCGGACGTCCCCATTGAAGAAGCTTTCAGCGGGAACAGGGGGTCAATATGGGCACTTTATACACAGCCGAATACACAGCAAACTGCCATATACTTTGTGTTCGGACACCTTTCTATCATAGTGAGAATTTAGTTTTTCAGCAATTTGAGCTAAAGTAGCTCTTCTCTGTGATTCTGTTGTTCTTCCTTGTACCACGTTTGGTATGTACCAACCACCGTATACCAGGAACGTGCTATAAGATTTTCCATTTTGGAGATGCTCTGACCCCAGTTGTCTAGCCACTACTTGGGCTTTGTCAAAGTCACTTTTCGCTTGCCCATTTTTTCTGCTTCCACCACATGAAATTCAAGAATTAACTGTTCACCTCAACTGTCGGTGGTTTTAATTGTGTGGCTGATTAGAGTAATTGGATCTATAATATCATATTCCAATAAACAGCCATAATATATATATATATATATATATATATATATATATATATATATATATATATATATATATATATATATATATATATATATATATATATATATATATCTGGCTCTATAATCTCATTGCCATATGCAGCTATAACATATAACTGGCTACTATAATATCATATTCCAATTAGTGATGTCGCGAACCGTTCGTGAACTTTTCGTGGCGAACCGTTCGCGGCGAACTCCGGTCAGCTGACACATCCCGGCCAATCTCCAGCTGCCTTCAACATGGATGCTGTCCAGGAGGTGGGAGGGTCTGGGAGGGAGGGTCTGCTGGAGATTGGCCGGGATGTGTCAGCTGACCGGAGTTCGCCACGAATGTTCGCGAAAAGTTCACGAACGGTTCGCGACATCACTAATTCCAATACACAGTTGTAACACATATATGATTCTATAATACACAGTTATAACACAATTGATTTCTATAATAATAATATCATATTCCAATACACAGTTATGACACCTTTTATAATATAATTATGACGGCAGCCACCATCACTGGGACAGAAGGAGGACACTTTATGTAGGTCCCAAGATTACTCTTATGTTTTAGTCACCCTATGTCCATTGTAAGTGCAGAGTGTGTATAATGTATGTGTTTGTTGTTAGTTATTTCTTCTCTCCTGTCTTATTGTTTTCCCAACAGGATGTGATACCCTTGTTCCAGGGACAAGTCCAGACAAGTCCAGAGTGGCTGCTCTGCCACGCTTCTTAATTTCCCATGATGTCCTCAGCCCTTGTTATTGTCGGTCTCCACCCTTTCTTGTAAACAGTAGTGCATTCAAACACTAATGTAATTAAGCTTTGTAGTGTTATTAGTTACTATCCCAAGTCTACACTGCTATTGGCTGGCTTGGGATATGTAGTGTGATTGGTTACTATCCCCAGTCCATACGGCTATTGGTTGGCTTGGGATATGTAGTGTAATTGGTTACTATCCAAAGTCTGTTTTGCTATTAGTAGAGTGGGATATGCAGTTTAATATGTTACTGTGTCAAATCACCCTAGTCATAATGTACATTCCTGTTGTTTTCCCCAACAGACTATTTTCACTGCCCCTGGCTCCCATCATCTCCCCTGCCAATCAACAAGGAGCGCCTCTTCCCCTGGCTGTACAAGGAGTCCAGAGAGCCACAAGGACTATAGCTGGACTTATCCATGACATCTTTGGAACTCTGGCACCGGCCAACTTTTACCTCTGTTTCCCCCCACTAACCAACCACTAAGAGAGTGCGTTGTGGAGGGAAGGTACAATGAAATGTATTGAACAATTGCTCTCTTAGAGGCAGGAGGTGCTCCCCCTACTCCATATGCAGGAGCACCCAACAGTGACTGGCTAAGGCCCAATTCATCATTGAACTCTTTTGGGCATGAGCATTACTATCGGCCGGTCCAAACTTTACCCCAGTGGCGATTCATCAATTCGTGATCCGAAGACTATTTTGCTAACATGGGCGCTCGAATCAGAGCTATTCGAGGATATATCATGTGTTGAAGGTCCGGTCAGTTTTGTTATGAGTTGGGGGTATTTCTGTGCTATGCCCTCTATATCTGGGAGATAATTAGTTTAGCGAGTAGTAACTCAATTATCTTCCAGACACAAAGGCACCAGGGTGGGATCCTCTATTGTTGAATAGGGACCCCATGCTTGTGCTGAATAAAATACGATCTATGCCAACATTAAGTCTCGACTAAAATATGGGGGAGTGTTATGTAGTGATTTAACAATATAATATAGAGCTATATGACATACTATACTAATATAATATAGAGCTATATGACAAACTATAATAATATAATACTATAGAGCTATATGACATACTATAATAATATAGTGCTATATGACACTATAATAATATAATATAGTGTTATATGACATACTATAATAATATAATATAGTGTTATATGACATACTATAATAATATAATATAGAGCTATATGACATACAATAATAATATAATAATATAGAGCTATATGGCATACTTTAATAATATGATAATATAATATAGAGTTATATGACATACGATAAAATATAGAGTTATTTGACATACTATAATATAGCATAGCGCTATATGACATACTATAATATAATATAGAGCAGTGATGGCGAACCTGTGACACACCGGGCCCTCTCTGTGGGCACGCGGCCATAGGTTGCCGGCGTTCTATCAAATTTACCTACCGGTGAAATTTCCCTATTTGATAGAACACCGGTCACATCAATGCAGAGTAGGCATCTGCCTGCCCAAAAAGGCAGGCGCCTACTCTGCTTCCGTGTCGGGAGGACTCTAGGAAGCAGCTCTCCTGTCCTCCTGCGAGCAATCTGTGGAGTAGAGAGCTGCAGGACCTGTCCCTCCTACCTCCACGTATTTCTGTGGCCCCCCCTCCTTCACAAAAGGTAAGAGGAAGGGGGGACACACAGATTGTATTATTAGTATTATATATATTTGCAGCAGCACCCTCCCCCCATACACATCACCCCTCCACGCACACACACAGCACCCAGAGACACACAGCA